CCAGATCGATGTAGTCTTGCATGACATGTTGAATTTTTTTGAATGATATCTGCTCCAGTGATCTTGCATTTAATCATGAAACGCTCATCACCAGACACGTCTAAACAAACATTATCCTCTTTGTGACAAGAGGAAAAATGTTTTACATGTTCTGCCTGGCGGCAAAGTAAAGATACATTGCGCGGACGAATTTTTATTCATCTTAAGATTTTAGAAAAACAATCAATTCACAAAAATACAGTTGAATAACATACCAGAAAACGTATCTACATATAACACAATGACACGCTGTTTAAATAACAGTTAACTGTTTTTTTGTTCCATATCAATGTCAAAATAAGGAACACGATCGAAGTGAAACTAATACGCTCCCTGTACATGAATAGATTTACTGAAATGTATCTTGTATTAGAAATAACTTTAGAAATAAATGTAAAATGTATTTTACGTCCAGAAAGATGGAAATAAACCCACGTCCTCCATTTGCAACTTAACTATACCCTGTTTTAAACATGGCCATGTGGTAGGGTAGTGTTTCATGATTTATCAAAAAGTTGATTGAATCTCTCTAAAACTCGGATGGTATAGTAGGATGACCTTGTCATGCACATACTTGTCAAGTAAAAAAACGAAATATTTTCCTTTTAAAAATCTGGAGTTGTTAAAGAAAAATCGGGGTGAAAATCGGCATTTGTATTAAAAAGAATCGGGAGAAAATCGGGATTGTTTAGGATAATCGGGAGTTTACAATGACAATCAGGAGGAAATTGGGCTTTACAAAAATAATCGAGAGAAAATCAGGATTGATTAGGATAATCTGGAAAATTCGGGAGTTTACAATGAAAATAGGGAGGAAATCGAGGTTTACAAAAATAATCGGAAGAAAATCGGGATGATAATCCGGAGTTTAAAATAGAAATGGGGAGGTAATCGGGGTTAACACTGGTAAATTGATAAATACGTTGTTGAATTTCATTTGGACCGTTTACTATCTTTGTTTATCCCACGATTAATTTGTTATCTGTACAATAACAGCTATTGATATTTCTGATATTATTGAAATCCGTGTGATATTTTCCAGAAAATCGTTTATCAAACTCATATGCGTGTGATATCGTTTATCTCACACATATCCGTGTGATATCACACTTGCATTTCGCGCCACAATATTGTTGGAAATTAGGTCAGATAATTTATTCTCTTTTTTAGAAAATAGGACCGTTAATTTATTCTCTTTAAATTTCATTGGTGTATTGAATTACGATTGTGTATATAATTTGATTAGAAGGCTGCTAAATAACGATTAAAATGGTATTCATGACGAACTATGACATGTTCATAAAGTAGTGCATATTACTGCGCAGTGTGTAAAGCACAAATCGAAATGGCCAGTGCAAATTCAATTGATATTCTAATTTCTAGTTTATTTTGTTTGCCAATGTCCTGGAAATTGGATCAGAACATCACAAGTTGATTGTAATCATGGGATAAACCCAATATCACATAATTTCTCGTGATATCATTTTATCGCCTCGTAGATATCAAATATCAACACTCATTCGCTTCGCTCACTCGTGTTGATATTTGATATCAACTCGGCGATAAAAATGGTATCACTCAAAATGATGTGATATTCTATATTCATTAATATATCCATGAGATATCATCTGCATTAATGTAACACATCAAAATTTGACGTTTTGGTCCTGCAATTTAACCAAGCTTTAATCCTGGTTTTCCGTATTATTCATTTGGACCTCACAGCACATTACTTGCAATAGTTAAAGGCAGATCTATGGGGGTGACAAAATTACAAGCATGTACAAGTCACCTACCAAACTATTCCTTACAATCTCAAATACAATCTCACCAAAAAGATTCACGAAGTGTTTAAATTCTCCCAAAATAATAAGAATAGTAAGAAAATACACTTTGAGGATTTTTATTCTAAGATCCCTTGTGATAACAGCCTTCTATCAATTCTAGTTTAGGCAAGATAAGGCCAAGAGATACATAATTTTGAAAATCAGCTAGACGGCGCAACTATATTTTTAAACCCTGCTATGACAATTGTCGGTACGGGAGTCAGTCCGTTCTTAAACATCAGCACACATGTATTTATTCAGAACAAAGAAGTACAGGCCAGGCCCGTATCAAGCTTTTGCAAGGGGGTCCACTTTTCAAAAAAAATCCAAGAGGTTTCAAATTTAACACAGTTAAGTTTGCCCAAAATCACGAGGTTTATCCTAGTTCTTGGCGATTTCGATATATTATACTTTTTCGATTATCTATATACAAGCCTAAATCGACTGGCGATCCGTTCGATAGACTCGATAAGTTCGATATATTTGAATAAAATCGATACTTTCGAATATTTCGAGTGTGAACATAAGAATTATATAACAACAAAATGCATTTAGAAATTTTCGATTAATTACAGAATGCTTGATGGCTTTAGAAAAGATTTCGAAAACTTCGATATTTTCGAGTATAACGATGAAAGGTTATAGCTGCAGAATGTATTTCGATTATTTCGATATTTTCGATAATTTAGATTCTAAATATGCATTAACTTCATGGCTTCAGAATGTATTTCGTAAACTTCAATATTTTCAAAATTTTCGAGTATAAAGATGAAAGACATTAGATGCAGAATGTATTTCGATAATTTCGAGTGCAGAATGTATTTCGATATTTTCGATATTTTCGATAATTTCGATAATTTCGATTCTAAATATGTATGAACTTCATGGCGTCACTCATACAGCCCATTCTGACTGTATGACAGTTTGATATGGTTTATGTAAGTCGTTAGACAAATGGAGAAAAATTCACAAAAGTTTGAACTTAAATTTATAATTTTAATTGATTACATACTGTAGTATACAATACACATGTATCATTCTACATCATTTGAGGTCTGATCTGATGCACCATTTTAAAGCCCATCAATGTTAAAGTTAATTGAATCTAACATCCAGGATAGTATTTTCCATGGGAAGTAAAATATTCGTGACATGAATATCAAATATTTCAAAAGACTCTTGATACTCATTCTGGTATGCCAGAGCCCCTCTTATCTGCCGTTTGCGAGAGACTGGAAGGATAAAGACAAAGGGGGCGCGGCTATCGCGATGCTTGATACTAATATTGGGTGGTCCTGTTTTCAGTTTTAGGTCGCCCCTAAATGGGTGGTCAGAAAGATGACCCTCCAGCTTTTGTCAGTTGTTTGGACTTCAAAAAGCCATTAACAATTAAAGTATTATTTGTTTTGACTTGATCTTATGTAATTAAAATATGATTTGATAAAGACAATTTTGATGATTGTTGGACCTTTTCCATACTTTTTTTGAGGGGGTGGGAGAATGCGATTTCATCCATTGCATCCCAGCAATTTTGTATAATTATTTGAAATAAACATTTACAAACTATAGTTTGAAATGCTTAGAATGCACCATACATGTACACTCCCCTCCATAAGTTTGGCAACCTTAGCTCCCCCATTAAACTGCGTGTTAAAGCCTCTTTACGTTTGAATCTTTATTTACTAGTCCTTAAAGGGTGACGCATATCGTTTAGCAAATCGAACGCTCGTTTCTGGTGTTGCTCACCGTTTAGTATAAAAGGCCCGATCCCGGAATAATACTCAAGGGTTCACAGGTTCGAGGTCGTTGTGTCAACACCTCTAACTGTTATATAGCATAAGTATAATATAGATCGTCACACATTTATAAAAGGGTGATTTTTATTTTGACAAATCAATTCCACATTTATGGGTGAAGTTTCAGGATCTTCTATTTGTGTATAATAAGGAAAAATTGGCATCTAAATTTCCCCATAACGTAATAGCACACAGCTTGGCATATGAAATATCCTACAAATGAAACAAAGCAAGACAACCCGGTTTCTAATACAAGAATTTATATTGGCTGTTGTACATGTATTATTTGAACGCAATCACTCTTTGGATAACGTTTTCAAAATCATTATAAACGGATTACTTTATCTCAAAGACAATTTCAATAAACTGGATTTTACAGAACTCCCCTTATTTCTTAAAAATGGACTGATCCAGTTGATTCGCCTGGAGCCGCCATATTGTTTTTATACGGGATGCTAATCGGAACCCTTTAACCGGCGATGAAATAACTTATAATATTGATGGAGACGTAATTTGACTTTATTTCCAATAGCCTACCTCCAAATGTTCTCAATTTTTTCCTCAATTACAATAAGTCGAAAATTGATGATAAATTTGATGATTTTTTGAAAATCGACATTCCCATGTTAACCAATTGGAAATGGTTTGTTTGCCAAAAGTCATATGACAGAATATATCCACCCGAGTCCTTGCACCCGAGTCCTTGCGAGTTAGGCAGGCAATTCAATTTGCCAACTTTATTTGACAAAAAATTGATATGTTTCTTCAGGTTCAACAAAGTTATAGTGCTTAAAAGTTAAAATTGTTTTTAAAAAAACTCTCCCATTGAAATAACACATGAGGCCAAAATTAACTTCAAAAATTTGAAGCGCTGTAACTTTAGTATTCATCAAATAAACGAAACACTTAGTGTACAAAAAAGTTAGACAATTCAATTTTCTATATAAAAATATTTTTTGCTGAATCTTTTACTGAAAAGATATTCTGATTTCTGACTTGCACCGAACCCTCCATTTCCCATTGGATGCCATTGGAATGACGATTTCCAAAATTCATCAAATTTATAATTTTCGACTTATTGTAAATGTGGAAAAAATTGAGAAAATTTGGAGGTATTGGAAATAAAGTCAAGTTACGTTTCCATCAATATAATAAGTTATTTCATCTCCGGTTAAGTATATAAAAATTCAAACGTAAAGAGGCTTTAACACGTAGTTGCCAAACTTATGGAGGGGATTATTTTCCTCTTTTTGGGGCTCACTTCGCTCGCAGTAATACAAACCCAAAAAACGCACCCCTTGACAATTGCTGGCTACACCCCCATTTACTTATATCATACCTATATCACATATTCTACCCATCCAGCCATCCATACAATCGCATTTAGCTACTGCTATTTGGTTAACCACAATTATGTTGCAATCTGCTCCATTCAAACATGGATTCTCCAAACATGGATTAAATTTTTCATGTTCACATCTGCAAATGTAAGAGTACAAATGTTAGTTACAGTATACTGTATACGTGGTAGTTTTGCCTAATCATTGAGTTTCGGAAAATTAAATGTCGGAAATATTATCTTCATGATGTTATCCAATGGGAAGTTTCTTGTCATTAGGAAATTTAAAATAAAGAAAATAATAAAATTTGACCATTCGGAAAACGGTATTCATATTGCTCACCTATCTCCTATATAGTCTGCTGTACATTGACATTTTGCCAGCCACTTTCCAACCTTGACACAAGTACCTCCATTCTGACAGAGGCCGGCATTGCCTGTACATGGGTACCTTTTGCCTGAAAGCAGTGATGGCTTACAGTTTCACATTTGCCTGAAAGTGGTGGTAGTCAGCAGTTTCAAGGGCATGTGATAATGACCTTAGGAACCGCCAATAGATGGCGAAGAATTCAATGGATTTAAGTGTATACAAAATACAAATTGCTTCAAAAATCCCCCAAAATAGTTTTCAATGAAAATATCTAAAACATTATGATATTGAAAGTTAAAACATGTCACTAGTAAATATTATAATGAAAAAGTGTCATACGTTAGATCTATGTAGTGTGATTTGAAGTTTTAATACAACAATATTTACACAAATCAACATAGTCTTGCTTAAAAGACCCTGTACCCCCTCCTTTATCCTTCTCTCTATATTGCCTCTGTATATTGCCAGGTAAAAAGAGTGAAGGTGACGGGGGGGGGGGGGGGGGTGGATACAGTCTTTGAGCAAGACTAAAATTAATCAACAGAACAGGTGTAAAGAACATCTAAAAAAGAAATGAGTGAACTGCGATCTATACGAATCCTTGGCCCCATTTTGTGAATGAAAAAGGACTTACTTGAACATGAAAATCTGTGAGGACCCTTAGAGCTCAGCACACATCCTGGGTAGGACCAACCTGGAAAACGCAACATATGGACACAGATCAATGCCAGGCCCGTAGCCAGGGGGGGGGTTCGCATTCGCAGGGTTCGGGCGACCCCCCCCCCTGGCCAAAAACTCTTTCAAAATGATGCAGTTTTTCACCATTTTGAGCACTGATTAAGTGATTTTAGCCATATTTGGGCTAAAATTGTCAAATGTGAACCCCCCTGGAAATTTTTGAAAACTGACCCCCCCCCCCCTTGGCAAATCCTGGCTATGGGCCTGAATGCTAGTGAAACTACAATCAGAGCACCTTACTTACGCGCCTTTCTAATCAATGTTTCCTTTGCCATTCCAGATTTAAAAGATCTTGAGATCTCAACAAATAGGAAAGTTGTTGTTTTAATGTGTAGAAATCAGTATATTCTTCAACATAATCATCCCTCAGTAAATATACAAGTACTTAATGACAGTGCATTGTGGACTCTGTGGGTGTAAAATATAATTTTCATTTCATTATATTCAATTCAAAAGTGTACAGTAGTTACAGTAGTCGCTGCCTAGCGCATTTTGCAAAAAAATATATTATATAAGAATAAATAAGGGTTATGTACTGGGAGGTTTTGGATATGGGGTTTATCCAGAGGGAGATATGCATATCTACCTGAGGGACCGTTTTAATTATTATTATTATTATTATTATTATTATTATTATTATTATTATTATTATTATTATTATTATTATATTATAAAAAAAAATTTAAAAATTTAAAAAAATGTGAAAAAAATGACAAAAAATTGTGGAAAAAAATGTAAGAAAAATTTTGAAAAAAAAATTTGAAAAAAGATTTTGAAAAAAAATTAATTGTTTTTTTAAAAAATGTGACGTGGAGTTACCGGAAGCGGGAAGATATGCACCGAAGCGGGAGATATGGCGGGAGATATGGAGGTTCTGGATATGGAAACCTCAAAATCAGGATACGGAATAAATCTTACCAACTTATCTCCCTAACTCCTTGGCATAGGATAAGTGAATATATATAGAATATCACATCATTTTGAGTGATATCATTTTTATCGCCGAGTTGATATCAAATATCAAACACGAGTGAGCGAAGCGAATGAGTGTTGATATTTGATATCCACGAGGCGATAAAATGATATCACGAGAAATTGTGTGATATTGGGTTTATCCCATGATTACAATCACTTTGTGATGTTCTGATCCAATTTCCAGGACATTGGCAGACAATATAAACTAGAAATTAGAATATCAATTGAATATTTGAAACACTTTATTTTAACAATTAAAAGTAAGTAACATGATATATACTGTAGTTCGTCATAAATACCATTTTTAATCGACGTTAGTTAGCAGTGGCTGGAAATTTGCTTAATAAACAAAATGTCCAAAAGATGTACGGTACTGTAAAACCAGTAGAGTGGAACACCTCTGTAAGTGGAACACTGTTCAAAGTCTCACAATCTATTAACTTATTGTTAAAAAAACCTTTGTAAGCGGAACACTTCCCAAGTGGAACACTTTTCAATGGTACCAAAGGTGTTTCACTTACAAATGTTTTACTGTATATAATTTATGAAACTTGCTTACACCATGTGAAGATGAGCCAGTCATATCTAGATATAAACCAGCAATGACTTTTACAATAATGTACTTAAAATTGTTTTGCAAGGTTGTTCCTGTACAGTTCTATTATTAATGATTAACTTGTATTAATCAATTAATAATATTATACATGTATTATTAATGATTATCATTAAGTTAGTTTACACTTCATAATATTGAATGGATGGTGGGAGGGGTCAGTGTAATCTATCAGATCATCGCTTTTTAGATTAAGATTTAGATTAAGAACTTCGGAAACCACAATTGGGAAAATATAATCAACTATTGAAACCACAAATAAAACCTATTTGAAAAGAAATTTACAAAAAGTCAAAATGACTATCCATTCTTAAAACCAAAATGTTGGACAAACCATGACCATCACTTCGCTGTAATGTTTGATCCCAATTAGTAATAACTGAGACTAACATAAAATAATATTTTAAGATGGTCTCAGGTAATAAGACAGATTAGTTGGAACCAGTGGAGGAACTGAAACATTTTGATCAAGAAGCCCAAGCTCTGAATTGCTTTCATATTGACAAAATGCTTTTTATCTAGAAGGAAGTATAGAACCCCTGATATCTTTGTGTAAATAAAGGCCTACTATTGCCTGTACAGAAAAAACTTTGGTTGAATAAAATTTAATTGTTTCGGTATATTGTGTAATTTTTCAAATTGATGAATATGCAAAAATCTGTATCACCATGTGACGAAATCAAATATATTTAAAAATAACTATTGCACCATTCTAAAAGAATTCAATGGAACCTCTAGAACATGATTCTATTTATCGGCTTACTGAAGTTCAAGGGCACTTCAGATGATGACTCATAACCGAAACCTTCACAATAATATAAAGAACTAGTTAGCTCGAGTTAAAACATAACTTGAAAATAACAGAAGAGAACACAAGCTAAACACAGAGACTTTAGACATTTAAAAAACTACATCAATAACTGAATAATGCCAGGTATGTATTCAATAGCATTTACGAGACTTTCATTTTGATACTAACATTTTTATTTACATATATCTGATTTGAACATACCTGTGAATTGTGTTCAGCTCAGCATAAATTATAAGCACATTTTAGCCTATTAAAATATATCATTAAACAAGTTTTATAAAGTTATTTTTTATTAAAGAGGCAATATGCTGTAACTAAAACTAAGAAGATATCATGAAATCATTTTTTTTTAATTTCTTAATTTTATAACGTTCATAACATTGATTCGTTTATTTCAGTTCAAATGAATTGCTGATTAAACACCTACAGTGAATAGTAACATGCCACTTTTATAACATTCACAATGATATGAGTCAGTTTTTTTTATTTCACACAATCATGATTAAGAATACGAATGATGAAATTTTACCATATATATCCAATTCCACTTGCATTTGCCTGAACAAAACCAGTGCTGTATGTTTAAATTCATATAATAATTTTGCCTATAACCAGCACTGATTTAAATTCATTAACGTTAACAATTTTGTTTAGATACTAGGCCTAATCATTTCATAATTTCAGAACGCGAAACGGATAACGATTTCTGGGTGATGTGTAACGAGAAGTCGCCAGTCTCGTGCAAAAGGGCGAACTACATCCTCACGCTCCTCGAAGAGAAGGGTCTTCGGGGATACTTCACACCACGTGATGCCAAAAATAAAGACTCCTTAATAGAAATCACAGAGGCAGTTGACAAATGTAAATACATTCTCATTGTCTTTGATGAGGACTTCAAAAAGGACAACTTCAATATGTTCACACAAGAAAGCGTCTTTAAAAAGCTTATAGATACGGGGCAGCTTCCTCGGTTTATCCCCCTGGTGATTGGAGTCAAAAGACGAGAAGCAGTCCCCAGTTATATCCCTAACTTCTGCCTGGAGTTCAATGATGATTGGAAAGAAGATGACAGGCAATTTGCCCGACTGGAGAGCACCCTTCGTTCAGAGCCACCTATGTCTATCTTTGGATTCTGAATGACATGTGAGGATAATACCCAAACAAAAATGAATGGAGGGTCCCCAGAGAAAGTCACCCAATAATTACATTCAAGGTACCATACGAGATATTGTGTATTGTATATTGTGTACAATATTTACTCATTTGCTGGTTCTGTTACTTGCTACCATTAAATTGCTGATCGCTTTATATAATTTCCAGAAGTAGTATAATTTAGTCCCATGAATGAAGTAAAATCATACAGATATAATTACAGTGTAATTAAATACAAATATAATTACAATTATTGTACAATTGCAGATACTACACCTCATAAATCATCTACATTTACAAAGTAGTGGGAATCCCTTTGTATAGGACATATGGGATACCTGATATATTAATACCCGAAAAAATAATAAAAGGATTTTTACATGCTATTGAATATTAATAATGCCATGACGACAACCTCACAACTCCATATAAGAAAAAACAACTTTCCAAGAAGGAGAAGGAATCAGAACAAACAAAGATGCAAAACTAGAGAGGATATGGTGACCACTGCATGGTACATTTCTTTACATGGATGGGACAGGCAGAATATACTGCACAAACACTATTCTAGTCTATGTCTGCACCATGTGAAATACGAGTGATAACGGGGAGTGATGTAATGAATCTTTTGATGTCTACGAAGTATCTCAAAAATACTGGATATGTAATGCTATTATTGCTATATTTGTATACTTTTATTACATAGCTATTTGATGATATTTATACCATACATTTATATTATACATTTATTTATAAAAAGTGTATATTGGACACCAATGGTCAGTGAAATATATATGTATATCTAAAAAGTGCACAAACTATATTTTATCAATTTGTTAATATAATGGTAAAAATGTATCTTATAATAATATTTGTAAAATAGCAATGAAAACAGACATATGTGTACTGATTGTATCCTGTATACTGGTATTTTATACATTTTTGTATTTTATTTTCATCCTATTAGTTATTTTGTAAATGCTTTATGAAAATGCATGACATGGTATTGTAATTAAAAAAAGGGAGTAGAAGGGAAGGAGAGTGTGGAATATTTCAAATAATCTTTTCAAAAAGCATGCCAGTTTTCTTCATGATCCTAATTTTATTTTCTTGATCTTTTCTCATCTCACCTCTATCCTTTCTAGTCCCTTTAAGAAGTTTTTAAAGGTGCAATATAGTTTAGTTTTCTCGTTAAAGATCTATTTGCTTTATAGGCATATCTTTATACATGTACATTACCTTAAGAATGGTACACCTTTTATACATAATATAAGATACAAACTTATTTATTTTATTTATTTATGTAAATATAATATGTAATCAGAAAATCAATATAGATTGAAAAACAAACAAAAAATGAGCAAAAATATTATCAAATATATTGTTTCGTTATTTATCAAAGGAAGTAAAAAAATATTTTGTGTTATAAACAATACAATTAGGTTTATACAAATAAGCAAAAGGATATTGTTTGTTTATTTTCCTGTTGTAATACTAAGAATTAAACAATTGGTTTCCTCATCTCTTATATACACCTGTATCAGTTTATTTGTTTTGTAAAATCTTTAAAATGATCTCATATGTATTATCTTATGTATATAGTGTTTCATAAATTAGATTTTAATTTCTGTTTACAACCTTCTTTATGACCAATAGGATATAGTTTGTTACATACATTCTTGTTATAAGTCATTCTAATACTAAGAACTTAAGTTAAAAAATTAAATTTAAAATTACTTCATGTTTCATACGTTGCAATAAATCTCTTTTTAATTTCAATTAATTGCTCTCTTTTGTTAGTTTATTTCAGATAAACTTTTTTAGAATAAATTAATCGATGATCGATTAATAATTCACACCTGATTTATATAATAGGCTTGCGTCTGAAAATTAAAATTTGTAAAGAGTTGGTATTGGCCAGGCAAATAAAATGATCGGATTAAATACCACTTATACAGAGTTGTTATAATTCAATTAATCAAGATTTTAATTAAGTACCACATATTTTTTACGATCAATACTGGATTTGGGTGTTAAATTTCTGACACTTTAATTATTGAACCAATTTATGATCCAATTAAGTTGTTGTTGACAGTACAATCAATAAACCAGTTTTCATGTTCAACAATATGACCATCACATCAGTAAAACTGATAACATTATACCTTAAGGCACTGATATGCCCACTTTAAGTGTAGAGTACAAATGTTTTGTAATGTTGTATCATGAAATAAAAATATAAGATACACATGATACCTGTATTTTTATTTTCATGTTTGCTTAGAGAAGAATTGTACCTAAATCATGGGCTTTAGTTGAAAGCCCATGCCTAAATGCATTAGAAAAATTGTCAATAAAATGTAAACTGGTTTTCTCCGTATACACAAATAAAATCATATTGTTGATGTTAACACAATAGGTGTTTGGCAAAGATTCAATTTAAATATTTACAAATAAATGATGTTTGGAAATCCAATTACATATTTTTCTTGTTTGTGATTCTTATTTATCTAATAAATATTTTTAATGCAGGAAAAAGCTACAGGTTTTCATGATTAGTTTCAAAAGAAATACTTTGATTCAAAGTGGAACTGAAACTGCCAAACATTGTATATTCAAATTACCTAATAAAATAAAACATAATTACCTAATCTTATGCCACAAATGACTTCGGCAAATCCTAGAAAAATAATTAATTTCATTTTGATGATAATAACGTTTCCCAGATATAAAACTAAATGAAAAAATCTTGAAATGATGAAACTAAATTAATTTTATTTTCATATTAAAAATAACATGTTTACAACATTAAAAAAATACAAGACATATATGTAATTTTAATATGTAAATAACACATCATGAAACTCTTGGATAGTTTTATTGGAAAGTATCTCAATTTTCATTTAAACAATTTCAAATCTGTAATTGAATATCTCAGGTTAAAATGACAATGTTCAGTTTCAGTTTTGATTCAGTAAAAATAAGACTTATCTTTTGACATCCTATATTAGTGTATTATTTATGGCTTATTTGTGTATTATTTATGGCTTATTTGTGATCTCTTACAGAGAAAGATAATGACATTATAATAATGATGTCAATAGTTTCAGTTGTAGTTGCGAAAGCCAATTATACTTATGACATCTAACTTCTTCATGCTAGAGACATCCTACTCTCATTTTGTTTAAGTAAATAGCAAAATGAAGTAAACATCCCCATGGTAATAAAAACAGTGTCTTCAACAAAAACTGAGTTTAACTAAACGTAGGTGTTAAATTGGTCCCTTGAACAAAATCTGACAACAAGTGTTTGAGTTATAATTGAACAACTAGGAGTGTGCAGATATTGATTACCTAAGTTTATTTCACTTAATCACAACATTATATGAATAACAAATATCCCCGTCCCCCCCCTAATGGATCATATACCCCACCTGACTATTAATCCTGTAAAAACCACTCCATTGGGAGCTATATTGTCATCATTCTATCACAATTCTAGGAAGTGAGATTTCTTTGTCACATAAATAATGTGCAATTGAAACTACAATAAACACTTGACCAACCGTAAACTTTCTTTAAGTGCATATTTAGTAACTCCTTTTAAGAATTTGGCAATATTCTAAGATATATCAAGAAGTTTTGAAATCAGGATTTACAAGATTGGTAACAAATGGGCTGGTCCATTTTACTTTCAGTGAAATGCATTTAGTGATCAAGGAGAGCCATATTTTTTTCCTACAAAATCCAAATATATATTTCTGTGATTCAGTTTATTAATAGATGTATGATAATCATTAAGTTTAAAATTTAAAAAAAATCTTTCAAAATGGTTCCTTCAAAACGTCCAAAAAATGTTCTTCAAAGAACTCAGGCCAAAATTATTTTTCCTTTCTGAATAAAATCTACACCAAATATTTTTCTGAAAAAGTAATTGCATATTCGTCCAGCCCTATTCTACTTATTCAAGATTACGGTCATTTTTATCATTTTTGGATAGGAGCCAATTTCACCACGCCAAAATAACTAACAACTTAAGTCATATTTATCTTGATAACATTATAGATAATAAAAAATACCAGAATTTCAAAAGATTTATAAAATATTTTGTATCTCTCCTGTATCAACCATTGACTTAGTATAGGGAGGAGGTGGAAACACTTAAACTGACTGTCATTGGCTTTAAACAGGAACAGTGACCTAATCATTTAACTCGTATTTGATGACGCCAAATTGAAACTACATACAGAAAGGCATATATGTAGTGTAACCTGTATATTCGAACACCTCTCTAATCCGAACACCTCCCAATATGAACACTTTGTGCAGGTCCCAATTTTTCCTTCCATTGACGACCATGTTAAGGAAACCTTGTAATGTGAGCACCTCAGAACAAAGTGAATAGTCATATTTGAAAAATTAAAGTTGCTTACATATCTTCAAAATCCCAGAGTTTCAAATGCAAAAATCTTGAAATTTGAACACCTCCTTATTCGAACACTTTTGGCTTGTCCAAATGGCATTCGAATTAGACAGGTTTTACTGTACAATCGATGTATATTTAAGTCATTTTTATTTCATATAACAGTTGTGTTTCACTTTTATTTTGATCATTTATAAAATGTCTCATAAATTTTGCCAAGATGGATACTATATCAAGTAGCATGACATCATTTGACAAGATGGATACTATATCAAGTAGCATGACATCATCTGACAAGATGGATACTATATCAAGTAGCATGACATCATTTGACAAGATGGATACTATATCAAGTAGCATGACATCATTCATAACAAACAGTACACTTTGTCCTAAAATTTTATTCATCACAACCATACAACATGTATTAAAAATTACATTACAGAAAACGTTTAAAATGTTTAATTTTGATTTTACATATCTTGTTGTTACCCTGTACAAATGTTTATAGTCAGTGAAACAAATCTTTATTTCAACAGACTTCATCACAATATTATAAACAAATTCCATATAATACTAATGCACCATTCAAAGGTTTGGGGACCCCCTCTCCAAAGGTGTGGCATGGGGTGTCTCGCACAAACCTTTGAATGGCATAAAAGTCAAATTACTTAGTATGTTCTAAATGCTCTTTTTAAAATAGACATTATACAGTTATTGACATGCAGTCTCAATATATGGAGCTAAATAATGTAAAAGTATGAAAATATAATTTAATCATTCAAGTACAATATTACATTTCATGACTATTTGAGACATTTTGTATGAGCCATCGTGATTTAAACTTTACATGGGACCTTTAACAGAATCAGAATAATGAGTTCTTCACAGAACGGTAATTGAATATTTTAGACATTATTCACTGTTACATCTATATATCCCATGCCACCACTAAAATTACTAATTTCTAGCTTCTACAGAAACACACCACACATCACATGAATTATGACTGTGTTTCATTTTCATTCATGATTTCAGGGAATGATCACTTCTACTTCATGATTATATCATTTATATATTATTTACACAAATCATAATGTGGGTTAGACTACATGCTTTATTAATAAGTACTGGTTATTTGAATTATTTCACTCCATGTATTTAAGAACCAAAATATACCCATGGTTATTTTTACTGAGTAACACACTTGGATCTAAATGTATAATTTCTCGTGTAGAATTCAGTTTTACTGCAGCGAAAGGTTAATTATAATTCAAACATGACTTTATTCACGCCTTCTGTAAAATGTGAACAAAGTCAATATTTCACCCAGTATTAATTTGTCAATACAATACCTGGTCTGTACTTAGTATTTGGTTCAGTGCTAAATGCTTAACAAAAAAGTAGGAAATGAAGTGACAATTTTGCAAAATGTTGGTGAGTTTTCATGTTCGAATCGTAATCAAGATCCAACTTTTTATCAGTTTCGAGTAATAAATACCTTGGGGCTGGCACAAAAACTTTCGAAAACGTTTGTGCCTAGCCCTACGGCATTTATTTGTCAATATAACACCTGCTATTCAGTCTATATTTCTTAAATAAATCATGGGTGGTTTTTGATTCAATAGATGGCAGCATAAACCTTAGCATTCTCCATGTGATTTTGTTCAGTGTGTTCATAATAGACCCTCGATTTATATTATTTCCAGAGATATATAATAAACCTGTATTAAATGTCTCTAATATTTCCAAGAGATCGAGGAGTTCATCTAAAATTGAGAAATGACAAATGAGTCTCTTCTCCTACCCACATTTTCAAAAAGTTTTCCACAAATTACTTCATTTGTAAGAACAAGATTATAAGCATAGATAAAAAATGAGAACTCTGCATTGCTGATTGCTGCAGAAATTAAAAACTTCCATTAGACTGGTTTATTTTAGAGCTCAAGCACTAAAAACTAATTTAAATCGCCTTGTAGCATGTTAAAAATATTAGCTTTCAACTAATAGTTTAGCCAAAGTAATAGTTTAGCCACAGTATACAGTGGTGGATCCAGGGCGCCCCCCCCCCCCCCCTAAGTTGGGCCCAGAACAAAATTTGGGCCCACTTTTCGGTTTTAGAGGCCCAACATTTTTTTTCTCTGACCAGAAATTTGGCCCCCCCCCCTTGTTGGTTCCCAGATCCGCCCCTGGTGTATCTTTCTGGAGCCATCAACTAAAATTTCATGTATTAGCAGTCATATGGCATTGATTTTTAGCTTCATTAAACCAATATTTCCACCTGGTTCAATAACAATAACACAGGAAGTCACAAACAAGCTGGTTTGGCATGCCATAGTAATGGCCCTTTCAATCCAATATAGAATTTTTTCTGTGCTGAAGTGCGAAGTTTCTAAATATGCGTGAGGGGTGAGGTAGAAGAATAATTCTTTCATACAAGGTCACTTTATAATCCTCTGATCGTTTTTTTCTCATATGTGCCATGCTACACTGGTAGTTATAAAAGGTGAGTATAGAAAAATATTCCCCTTCCAAAGAGGTCACTAAATGTAATCCTTTAATATTTTGCAATCCATTGAGAGAATTCTGGCTAGGCAGGACTTGGTATGCCAGCTGGGGGCACGAGGCATAACTAGAAAAACAGCAACTCCACAGAGTAGCAAATCCCACCGAACAAAACATATGCTTATTATAGCTAGTGTAAATGTTGAAATGTTTGTGTACTTTGTGATAGAAGCATGAAATTTGGCACAAAGTTAGTTTATACCATTGTGAACTAGGCATCATCATATAAAATTTGAACCAAATCCGTTCACTGGTATATGAGTTATCAAAGATTACGTTTTTTACGAAAATTGGCCGCCATCTTGAAATTCAGCCGCCATCTTGAAAATTATTTCTTGAACATAGCTACTGTGTCCCTAGGCATAATCATATAAAATTTCAACCAAATCTGTTCACTGGTATTTGAGTTATCAAAGATTACATTTTTTACGAAAAATTGCCGCCATTTTGAAATTAAGCGGCCATCTTGAAAGCGGCCATCTTTTTGTCGAACATAGCTACTGTGTCCCTAAGCATCATCATATAAAATTTGAACCAAATCCGTTCACTGGTATTTGAGTTATCAAAGATTACATATTTTTAGGAAAAATGGCCGCCATTTTGAAATTAAGCTCTTTTAGTGCGAAACTCCTTTGTCCCTAGGCATCAGCATATAAAATTTGAACCAAATCCGTCAACTCGTATTTGAGTTATCAACAATTACATTTTTTACGAAAATTGGCAGCCATTTTGAATTGAGCGGCCATATTGAAAATTCCTTCTCGAGCAGAGGTCCTATACTCATAAGGCATAAGCCTATAAAATTTGAACAAAATCCGTCAACCGGTATTGGAGTTATTGCCCAGACACAGGGACGGACGGACGAACGGATGGACGGCTTCTCTGTATCCCCCTCGAACTTCGTTCGGTGGGATAATGAGTGTGTCTCTAATATATGGTTATTTTATAATCCTTTAATAGTTTGTTCTCTGCTTTACTCCGCAGACAGAAGTTTGGATCTTTAGGATTGGTATACCAGCTGGGGGACGTGTTGAGGGATGAGTGTGTTAAAACATGTCTCTAATACAAAGTTATTTTATAATCCTTTAATAGTTTGTTCTCCGCTTTACTCCGCAGACAGAAGTTTGGATCTTTAGGATTCGGTATGCCAGCTGGTGGACGTGTTGAGGGATGAGTGTGTTAAAACATGTCTCTAATACAAAGTTATTTTATAATCCTTTAATAGTTTGTTCTCTGCTTTACTCCGCAGACAGAAGTTTGGATCTTTAGGACTCGGTATACCAGCTGGGGGACGTGATGAGGGATGAGGATGAAAGAACGTTTCATGGTTCACAGTGTTACTCCCGAAGAAGCTCCCAGTGTGAGACCTGAAAATAAAAAATAAAACAATTCCATTTACAGATCAAAAAGGAATCATGAAAGAATTACAAGTACATAATTCGGCGTAAGTGTAAATGCTGAAGAGTATGCAGATATTAAGTACTAGAACGATGTAAAGGAGTAACAAAGGATACACATGAGTTTTCAAAATTTTTTCGTCACAGCATATAAAGGGGTATCCTTGTCAGGCCCATAGTCAGGGGGGAGTAAAGCTCGGTATACACCAATGGGGCAAAATCCCACTTGCCCCATCGAGTCCCATCTTGCCCCATCGAATCCCAATTTGCCCCATCGAATCCCACGAAGTCCCATGGGACCTTGATGACTTTGCCCTATCGTGCCCCATGGAGTCCCATCAAGCCCCATGGAGTCCCATCAAATCCCAACGTGCCCCATTGGTGTATGTCGGGCTTCACACAACACGTCATATGATCAAAAATCCCACGATGCCCCATGGAAAGAATGAACATGTTCATTCTCGATGGGACTCCATGGGACTCCGTGGAATTTTGCCCCATCTTGCCCCATCGAGTCCAACCGAGTCCCACGTGAGACTTCATGGGACCTCGTGGGACTTGATGGGGCAAAATCCCACGAAGTCCAATGGAGTCCCACGGACTTCATGGGGCAAAATCCCAAAAGGTCCCACGAGGTCCCACGCAATGTTAAGTCTATGGAGGTCCCAACTTGCCCCATTGGTGTATACCGGGCTTTAGGGGAGTTCCCTACCTGGCCAAAAATTGTTTCAAAATCATGCAGTTTTTCACCATTCTGAGCACATTTCAAGTGGTTTTGGCCATATTTGGGCCAAAGTTGTCTGGAATTTTTTAAAAAGTGAAATCCTGGCTACGGGTCTGCTTGTAAAGGCTTTTTCTAAAGACTGAAAATGAGGCATTTTGACTCTTCAATAGCTGATCTGTACCATATTTGATCAGAAATCTCAAATCTTTTTGAAGTATTAAATTCTGGATGGAGAGGGACACATTGACATGCTTATCAAAAAGACTACCTCCAACATCCTACAATCTTTCCTTCACTTGCAGCTTAAGGACATGAATGTTTGTCTTGCCCCTACCCGGGGGGTTCACTCTGAGTAATTTCGATGATATTTCGAGATACTTAGTCTTAGCAAACTCCAGAGAGGAATTAAACATGGAAACCTTCAATCTTGAGAGGAAATTGACATGGAAAAAATGGTCTTTGGCGCGGCACATAGATATTAAGAGGTATATTGGAGTGAAACCCCCGGGTGCCCCAAGCCCTTTTGAGTTTTGACCCCATCTTAACACCTCAAATCCACATCTCTGAAGGTGAAGTATATAGGGCGGGGGGGGGGGTGGGGGCAAAGACTTAATGCAAGACTATAATGAGAGACTTTGAGTAGTACTTGAGTTAACCATATTTCAAGTATATACTTGACTTAACCACATTGTAAGTACATGTACTTGAGTAAATCACATTTTAAGTAGATGTACTTGAGTAAACTACATCATAAGTATATGTACTTGAGTTAACCACATTTCAAGTATATGTACTTGACTTAACCACATTGTAAGTATATGTACTTGAGTAAATCACATTTTAAGTAAATGTACTTGAGTAAACCACACACTAAGTAAATGTACTTGAGTAAACCACATACTAAGTCAATGTACTTGAGTTAACCACATTTTTAGTGTGTATACAGTACTACTTGACTGAGTGTGACTACACTTGCTACTTACCTCAGAGTTACATGTTCGAGTTTATTATTTTGCATAAACTCTTCATGTATTGTACGTGACAGCTCACAGAATTCATTCTCAGATAGAGTCACAGGGTACAACATGTTACCTAAATATAGAGAAAGTGCAACTTAGAATATTGTTAAATCATTACATTGTACCTACTGTATTAGTTTCGTACCTACTGTATTAGCCTTGCCCAAATCAGTATTTTTTACTTATCTGATCTTGAATTATTATAGAAATCAAGATAAGTAAAAGAGACCGACTTGGGCAAGGCTACTACTGTATTAGTATATTAATTATCACAATATAATTGTCAGTTAATTACAAGCCTTAGACTAATGTTATTTTGTTACAATGGGATGTAAAATACTACAGGGTGATCCCAACAAATTGAAACCACATATTTTGAAATACCTTTTGAAGTCTTGATAGAAAATTTCAGGAAATGAGTAATTCCAAAATTATAGGGTTTTTACGTTAGCATCATCCTATACTTAAAATGTTAAAGTCTCTAATTAGTATTTTAGGATCACAGTTAGAAATGATTGACTTGAATTGGGAATCATCTAAGAAAGAAAGAAAGAAAGAAAGAAAGAAAGATTATGTGGCGTCACATAGACCCAATAATCACAAACAGGTACACAATCAATAACCTGTAATCTTACCTTCCAAGGTTTTCTGGAAACTGTCATATCTTATGAAGTAATAGTGGTCTGCAGGGGTGTTCTAAAACATATGGAAAAAAAGAGAAATAATGGTATGCTAAAATATTTGCCATATAAAATATGCTAATAAGACATAATACGTATATGCTAATATAATATAAAAATATGCTAAATAGTGGTATTCTAAAACATATGAAAATAACTAATTCAAATGGTCTCCATGGGTGTTCTAAAACATATGGATAAGAACTTCAAAATAAAAAGCACACTAACTAGGTCCAAAACATGGGGTTTACTAAGTAGTTTCTAGAGAACAGGGAAGTTCATGAGGATATTTAATTTGTCGAATTTTGATATTTGACGACTTTTTAATTAAACTTCATGTTTTTTGAGACAATATTCATTATAAAAGCTGCTTGTGTGCTCATTGAAACTGTGTACTCATTACAGTCAGAGAATATGACAATCAATTTCTTTATTAGAAACAAGTCAAATTCTTTACTTCAGAGAATATTTTTAATTTATTGAGACTTTCGACTAATATCCCTTAGTCTTTTTCAAAATATAACAGCATGTATACATTTATGTGATGTCATAAACAGACAATGGAAAATTTAATTATGTAACAAATGACCTAGTAACCTAAAAAATAATAACAACAACAAAAAAACATAGATACGAAAAAACGAATGACCTAATAATAACCTTAAGATAAATATATCATCGTTATGGTAACAATTAAACTCAAATATTACTATTGCATACTTTGCTATACCATTCTTAATTTACAATATTTTATGATACAAATTGTCCAACTGATACCCATTATCTCTGTTCATTTTAGGTTGCATTGTTTTAATATGAATTGCTTCCTTAACCCTACGTTTAAGATCTTGACTCTCATTATCAATGATTTTTACATTGTTCCAGTTTATATTATGATCATATTCCATGGAATGTTCAATAACCGCAGAAGCAAGACCTCCAGTCGACAGTAATGTGGGTCTACGATGTTCTCTAATTCTAGTAACTAGTTCCCGCTTTGTTTCACCTACATAAGTGGCAATACAGTCTTTACAATCAATTTTGTAAATTACACCGGACTTCTTTTTATCATTAGTTTTGTCCTTTAAATGCACCAACTGTTTCTTGATAGTATTCTGCGATGAGAAACATACTCGGACACGATGCCTTTTAAAAAAATACGCAGTAACTGGTTGGAAATACTAGGGATATACGGAAGAACTGCAGTACACCTTATATCGTCATCATTTCTTGTTCTGTTTACATTATTTGTCGCATGTCTTTAAATAATGTAAACAGAAGAAGAAATGATGACGATATAAGGTGTACTGCAGTTCTTCCGTATATCCCTAGTATTTCCAACCAGTTACGGCGTATTTTTAAAAGGCATCGTGTCCGAGTATGTTTCTCATCGCAGAATACTATCAAGAAACAGTTGGTGCATTTAAAGGACAAAACTAATGATAAAAAGAAGTCCGGTGTAATTTACAAAATTGATTGTAAAGACTGTATTGCCACTTATGTAGGTGAAACAAAGCGGGAACTAGTTACTAGAATTAGAGAACATCGTAGACCCACATTACTGTCGACTGGAGGTCTTGCTTCTGCGGTTATTGAACATTCCATGGAATATGATCATAATATAAACTGGAACAATGTAAAAATCATTGATAATGAGAGTCATGATCTTAAACGTAGGGTTAAGGAAGCAATTCATATTAAAACAATGCAACCTAAAATGAACAGAGATAATGGGTATCAGTTGGACAATTTGTATCATAAAATATTGTAAATTAAGAATGGTATAGCAAAGTATGCAATAGTAATATTTGAGTTTAATTGTTACCATAACGATGATATATTTATCTTAAGGTTATTATTAGGTCATTCGTTTTTTCGTATCTATGTTTTTTTGTTGTTGTTATTATTTTTTAGGTTACTAGGTCATTTGTTACATAATTAAATTTTCCATTGTCTGTTTATGACGTCACATAAATGTATACATGCTGTTATATTTTGAAAAAGACTAAGGGATATTAGTCGAAAGTCTCAATAAATTAAAAATATTCTCTGAAGTAAAGAATTTGACTTGTTTCTGATATATTAACCAGAGAGATGAACTTACATAGAACAATTTCTTTATTGATTTCAATACTTGCTACGATGTCAGCAATGTGATCATTCTTGTTCTCCCAACCTTTGAGGCAAAGACAAGTTCACACCGGAATAGCCTGACAATGGTAAAGTCAGATACCGTTGTCACAAATGGCGGACATAAACCGTCACTTCAACTGTTTAATCACTTGATCCTCATTTCATGGGATTTTATCGTCACTAATTCTGTGCACGTATTAAGCTCTTGTGATGATGTTTCATGTGAAATCCCAATTTCGATCAAATTGGGTCGTGAATCGCCACAATATAGCTTCTTTCATATCGTCAATGACAACAGAATCTGAATTTGAGTAATTTAGAAAGACAACGGCATATGGTAATTACAGTGTCCATTGTCCTGTATCTCATTTTGATAGGTTAAATTAAAGACTTTATTTTGATGGTAGAACATTATTAACTGCACAATGAGTATTAAGACACTTTGATTGATTGTTGTTCCAAAGGAATCTAGTCTAGGTGCTCTATTAAACATACAGTTCATGAAAATCTAATTGAAGCCACGGTTATGTCCACAATTTGTGACAACGGTATCTAACTTTACCATTGTCAGGCTATTCCGGTGTGAACTTGGCTTTGTTGTGCTTTTCTCAGTGAATTAACAAGGCACAATTTTCTAAAAAACAGTTTCAACAGAAGATAGACTTATTGTGTCCACAATGACATTTACCAAAATAAAGTGGATGAGGAATTGACCAAAGCTACTCAAGTTGATCAAACCACAAGGATATAAAAACAGTACTACTTAGTGTACTGTATTTTGGGTTACGCAATACAATTACAAAATTTTGAGTATAGTTAATGTGCTGCCAATGATCCTGATAATGACCTGTGAATGTTGGGAGAGATCACTGTATACCATTTACATTAAGGTAAAACTCACCTGTTTCTGTGATGAGACCGCTTTTATCATGCCTTCTAATTCAGCTAGTTGAGGCAGAGCAAACCTCCACTGTAAAATAAAAAAACTACATTTAGAGCAAGACAATTAAGGGACCAAGTCAATTTTTCAATGGTATCGCAAAACAGTAATTACAGGTTAATCTGTCAAGTGGAACATGTGGAACACATTTCAGTGAGTGGGCGCAGCATCCAGCTGAGATTTTAAAAACAGGCTTGCACCCACCTGAAAATCCATTTGCACCCACTTGAAAATGAGAAAAACCATGTAAAATTGGCATATTTTGACCAATTTTGGTCTGAATTGTGAAAATGAGAATTTTGCACCCACATGAGATAAAATCATGTGGAGAACACTGCCATTTGTAAATGGAGCAGTTTTGAACATATATTACATTTAGACTGACCATCCTATCCCCGAAATCAAACATTTATCCTCATGTATGTTACAAAATGTCACCATTGGTAAACTATTAAAAATTATTACAATGAAACAATCTAGAGGCTATCATCAGCGCTATTGAGTGTCACAAAAACTGTAGTTTTTTTAACAATTAATATGTCACATATTACCGCTCGTGAAGTTGGCACCATGTGCTCAGGTACAACTTACCAAAGATTGTATAGTAGCCTCTCTGTTTACCATGTCATTCTCTACCAATAGCAGCATAACCATCTCAGAGTGTCCTTGTACAAATACAGACATTTCCTCAAGGTTAGCGATTTTAGATACATCAAATACCATGTGAGACGGAACATTGGGTTTACCCTTTTTGGGCTTATTCAAGTCATCAGGGTTGGATTGATCAGCTACTGGCGTTTCAATGTTGATTGGTTCAGGTTTGGTGACATTTGTAGTGACATCATGTGGCTGGGATTTTGCCTGTGGTAAAATACTTGGGATGTTTTCATATATAGGTGTTTTATCATCATCTCCATCTTCTAATTGTGCTTTGTGATCTTTTAAAGGTGCATTGAGAATCTGTAATGTCCTTCTTGTTAACAAGTCTTTCTTTATTTTACGGCTGCCTTCATTGGAGTCATTGGGCACTTGTTTTGAGTCAATGGTGATTTGTTTTGAGTCATTGAGTTCTTGTTTTGAGTCAATGTTGATTTGTTTTGAGTCATTGAGTTCTTGTTTTGAGACAATGTTGATTTGTTTTGAGTTAATGCCACTTTTATTTAATCTGTTGCTTGTATCTATTGATTCATCATTTAACTGTCTGGAAAGGTTGGTGGATTCATTGTCTCTGTGTGTTTGACTGGAGTTTTCATCTGAGCTGGAACTTTGTTCCTTAATATCAACACCTGAATCAGTTACAAGATTTTCTGTGTTATCGTTCTGTCCTTCTTTATCATCTAAATTATTCACTTCTTCTTCACACTTCACAGGGGCTTCATTTTGTCCTATCATGGCATTTGTACTATTCATTTCTTTAAGGACTTGGGCGCCATCCTGTCTAGCACTTGTGTCATTCACTTCTTCAATCTGTCCTATCTTATCAACTGAATTATTCACTTCATTTGTGACATGTTCCACAGCATTAATGGAAGGAGTATTGCTATCATTTATAGCCTCAATTTCAGCTGGAGTAATGCTAGATGTACCTTGAAAAGCTGTTCCTATATTTTGGTTATACTGGTCATTAGATGTTCCAAGGTCATTAGGAGATTCAGATATTTGACCCTCAATACTTGGGATACTAGTAATCTCATTGTTTTGGATTCCATGATTTTCAAGTTTAGAATTTTCAAGAACATTCTGATTATGTGGAATGTCTGAACCTTGCTGGGTATTTGGTTTTTGAACATCTGGTGTGTGTTCTTCTGACTGCTTAGCATCTGACTGATTCATGTGTTCTTTATTCACATGTGTATTATGACTTGATTCATTGTGACTATTTGTATTGTCTTCACTATTGGAGTCAATACTGTTGGTTGTTGAGCTTTCATGTTGTGAGGCTATAGCATCTTCTACTCTATCTCTTAGAGACTTTCTAGGATTTCTACTGTAATGTTGGTTAATTTCAATATCAGGCTCTCTTGGGACTCCTTTAAGGGATTTCGGACTTTTGAGGATAGGAGAACTTGAAATATTTCCAGATTGATGTACATCAGCTTGAACTGTGAGTCTATTAGACTCAGGTGACTCATCTTCATTATTTGAATCATCTGTATCGATCGTTTGATATCTCTTAACATACTTTGCCATGGTAGCAATACCATGTTCAGATACCTCTGTCAGCCTACCTAAGGGGTCTTTTTTTAATGGTGACCCTGTCGGATCATAGCCATCTCCACTAGTAGAATAAGACAAATCAAGGTCACTAGAGGAACCCTGCCTGGAGTGCAAAGCACTGGAATTTTGGCGGGAAAGTCGGCCATTTTGTAATGTACTGGATGACTCAGCATAAAACACGGAATCATTGTCTTCTAATACAGTTTCTGATGACGCACCATTACTGGATTGTGATATGCGGCTTTCACCCTCAAAGTTGATGATGGAAGTGTAACGCTGACGTTCCTGATGATGTAATGGGCATAACATCATAAATTCCTCTGGTGTTAGATGGACTGAGATCAGCCTGACACCTATAGGGATGTTGAAGCTCGGAGTGATTGTTTTGCAAGGCAGCTGAAACAAAATCAATTTTCATAAAACCTGCAGTCCTAAAATGTAATGGTAAGTGAAAGAGAAACTACAATTGTAAGACATATTATAGCGGAACCAATAAGTGCTATTTGAATAATTATGGGACATCATGTAAGACCTGTCTTATCTGAACGCCATTGGGACTGACTGAAGTGTTCAGAATAGCAGGTGTTGACATTTCAAGGTTTCTTTACCTAACAAGTAATCAATTTGCAATTACAAAATTGGGGCTTCAAAAAGTGTTCATACTGAGAAGTGGTCAGATTGCAGAGATCTTGAAATGTACAGGTTCTACTGTACTCTCAGGCTTGCACTTACATGGATTTAGCTATTTCATCAATTATATGATGACGCACTGTACTTACATGACTCTGTTGGGCTCTAATCAGTAGCAATCTGTCAGTCAGCTCTGATGTCAACTGGCTGCATAGCACCCTGTAAAACAATATACCATGAGGTGACTGTTGGGGTACTTGAAGATGCCACGAAGCAACATTTTTCAATGAAAATCACTTCTTCGCACTTTGTAATAAGGGTTTACTGTTTTATCAAAAAATCATTTTTAAGCTCCGAAATAATTTTGGACAAGTTAGGGGAGGTACTAAAAGTTCAATATGTTTTGTGAAAATAGATAGATTTAAATACAATTTTTAATTCAATGATAATTTCAGTTCAATTACATTTTTTGAGAACGAGAGAGAGAGTCAATTAGGAATGTAATTCATTACGTTTGAAACACCATGAAAATAATGATCTCTTACCTGTTTTTATAGAAGAGGCATCCAGCTATGACACCTGCCCTTCTCTGACTGAACTGCAACATGTGAGACGCCTTCAGGAATATACTGGCCCCATTCTGGAAAGTTGGATATACCAAAATGAACTATACAGTAAAACTTGTTAATATCCTCCACACTAGGGCTGGCACGGAATGGAATTATTGTCCGAACCGTCCGATTTTGCCTTCGGAAACAGACTTTCGGACCTACCTTCTCATATTCCGACAATTTTCGGAACTTTTATTTTCCTTAAAGAACATTCACTTTTCGTTATAGTGACACGCTAACTCGCTATAGCGAACTAGTACTATGAAACGAATTCAATAAATATATATAATTATTAAACATTTTCACTCGGTAAAGTTGTTTTATATGTAATGAATGATAGAAATAAATAAAGTATGATTGTTTTATATATATTCAGTACCTATAAGAAAATACAATTATTGTAAGAAAGACAATATACAGTAACAGTTGTATTGCCAAGGTGCCAAGAAGACAAGGACATTAACATTTTGCCATTAGTTTTGAACATTTATGCCACTTGTTCTGGCAGTTAGATAGTGCTAGTGTTTGTATTTAATGAACATAACAGCTTATATATGTATATAGTTGTACACTGCTGTTCCAATGGTAACAAAATGAGAACTTAAGGGGAGAAGAAGGAACTATTTTAAATAAGGTCCGAAATTCCGAAAGTTCCGAATTCCGAAGCAAAGTTCCGAATTCCGTTCCGTTCCGATTCCGTTCCGTTCTGTGCCAGCCCTACTCCACACTGACAAAACTGTTCCTTTTAGGCAAGTGTTCTTCCCTGATGATTCATTTACATGTAAATCAAATCTATGAGTATAGGATTTTAAGAGAGACTAGATAAGACCTGTTATTTCACACATCTTTTTGGCACTTATGAAACCATTTTGGAACTCAACTTATTGGTGTCATTTAATGAATTTTTGTCTTAATTAGGTTAGGTCAATACAATTTATGACATCACATTATATTAAAAGTAAAATAGAAAAAATAAGGACTTTTCAAGTGAGTTTTTTTTAAATTCTTATTTTACCTTTGGAAGCACGACTGATGGAATAGACTGGAATGCTGATGCAACTGGGTCACCATAGCAACGTACATATGGCAGGTAACAATCAAAGATGTACTGCAACTCTCTGGTAAATGTTTCACCATCCCCACCGCACCTCTAAAATCAAGAATACAATATTTTTTATTGTTAGAACTTTCAATGAAATACTTGATTATGATTGGCCAATAAGAAGGCAATATTTTTGACTATAGACTACTAGCATGCAATAAATTTCTGGTCAACAGATTTTGAAATTCCAATAAAATCAATCATTTGAAAATGAGAAAAATCATGAAAAATGGCACTTTTGTCAAAATTGTGAATATTAGAATTTTGTACTGGCTAGATGAGTAAACAATGGGGGAAACAATTATGTGTTTTATGTTTACTAACCTCTTGTACCTCTCCGAGGCTATGCTGATAAAACGTAAATGTGTTGAACAGTTTGTCAAGCTGTCTCTCCACAGATTTGATTGGTTCAGCACTGGCGGAGGCGAGAGCCTGCAATCCCAAAAAAATGTGTTAAGACTTTCAGGGATGTTGCCAGGATCCCAAAATTGGCGACAGTATTCCACTTTATTTTCATAACAAAAATGTCTAAATAAGAATATGAAACATTCTGGTGATGCAGTTGATCCATGCATTAGATTCATAATTTATTTTTACGTTAAATGTTAAAATGCACAGCAGATTTTTGCCTACACAGATTATATAACATAATAAGACAGCTTGAATCAAAATTATCATTATTACAATTTAACAAGCTGATTTTGTTTTGCAATATTTCGATTTATTCTTTAAATCTTTTTCAAGCAACTGAAAATAGTTGCTGTAATTATGACATCATAGACTAAAACAATAGAACAAATAGACCATTATGTAATACAGGTATTTTACAGGTAAAGAATTAAAATTACAATTTAAATTGATAATAATATTTTGTAAATGTGAAGAAAAATAGTAATACTGAAGATGGAAGAAATAAGTGTTCATTATAATCAAAGAGGCCCCATAAAGATCCTTACCCATGTGTATTGTTCACAGTGTTTCAGTGCATATGTATCATGCTGTAATTGTATAATACTTGGAGGAGACTGGCAAAACTCCTGGAAGAATCCCACCATCCCCATCAGCTGACCACATGTCTCACATCTACTGGTTATATCAATCTGAAACAATAATTCATATATATATATGTACCAACACTTCTTCGATTTCTTTTTGAAAAAGGCTTCAAACATACTAAAGTACACATGTGACTAGTTATACAAGGAATGCAAGATCATCTTTCAAAAAGGTATCTATTTTAAACCTACATATATTTTCTAAGAAATATGAAGTTTATTTTCAAATATAAGCACAGTGCACATACAATATATACACCGTACTGTTGTATACTTACTGAAGGTGGATAGAAGTATTTTATGGCATCTTTGATATCATCTGCTTCTCCCTGTATGACAGTATGGTCATAGATAAAGAACATCTGCCCATCAAGCCTAGAAAAATGAATTCAAGTATATTGTATCCTACATGTAGTTACGATGTAGTAAGATAGTGTAGTGAAAGTCTTCTCTCGGGCGTAAGAGGTCTTGGGTTGAATCCCAGTTCCTAGCGCTTCTTGTGGATGATTTTTTTTAAATTTATGAACTTTGTAATAACTTTAGTGCTGCTATAACGGCCCTCGATAGCAAGTCAACTGTGGATTGCAGTGGCTAGCCCCTTTGGCTAAAGCCACAGTGGGTTCAGTCTTATGGAATTGGTACTGGCTTCAATTCCCACAGGGGGCATAGAATTTAGCACACTCCATAGGTCTACTATCTGACTCGCTAAACTACACACTGGATGAGCGTGCCCATGGGTGGTTACACTGCCAACTCAAGGTTAGGATAGCAGTTCTTAGATTCAGAAATGGAGAGAATTGCTCTACTTTGTTCATGGTTTCATAAAAGTAATGAGCGGATATGATCATAAAACAATATGTGTTCTCGTGCATGAATACAGACCTCGACTCAATTTTTTGACTCTGAATAATTTATAATGACAATATGCAAGTCATATGAACAAGGCAATAAGTCTTCATTGATTGAGAATAACCCAGGAAGATGTCTTACCCAGCCATTGTATTTTCTCTGGTCTACCGGCTCGGTCCAAAGGCGAGCCAAAAGCCAAGGCCAAATCCCTATCCAGTGCTTACTTCCAGGTGTTCTATTACAGGCTCTTGGAACACATTTGATGTCCTATTACCATGAATATGGTTTAAAGCAATAAATACCATTAAGCTTAACTATATAGTTTAACAGATGGCATTACACAAACGATGCAATTTAGGAAAATGTCCCTAAATTTTGAAAGTAAATTTTAAATGGTCGTCCGCCATTTTGAACTTCAGATCATGTGACTTGATATTTTTTTCTAATATTTGAAAATATTGAGAATAAGGAACTATTAAAACACTTTTTGTTTAAATCTAATCAATGGATCAAAAAGTATCTTAAAATTATGTTTGTTATAACATTGTAAAATCAGGATATCATACTCTCGCCAGTACGAGATCAAAAAGCAGAAATCGTGTCTTCAAACCGGATCGAAATCGTCTCTAATTTTTGGCAAAATATGGAATGAAAACCTGCATGAATATAAGTAAGTAAGTGTTAATTAGAAGCATTAAATCATCTTGCGTAATGCTGATCTAATTTTGAAATAATCCACTGAACAATTTTGTCACATTTTGACATTGAAATTTTGATATTTTTTTCAAGTTTCAGTTTCACCATCTGATTCAAAACATCGAGCATTTGTTTCAAGGACATTTATTTGTTTAGAATAGATGCTGGCCAGATCGTTTTGTAGAAGTATCAAAGCCTCAATAAAGGAGGAATATTAATAGTAATGTCTTATCAGTGGGAAAGGTTTCTGTCGGAATCCAAAGGTGTTTCGTTTCTGGCAGCTGTAATTCCTTAAATGTGACGTAAGCTTTACAATGGTATTTGAACACACAACTTCCTGCAACAATTAAAATAATATGTGTCAAAGTAAAAGTTAAATTACATCATCCATAGCTTATTTACTCAAACTAAACAAGGAGAAATAGAAAGATGGAATCGCAGCTATGAAATAAGTGTAAGATCTGTCACGGGAAGCATGAAGCAGGTACAGTTTTGTATAACGAATAGTTTGAAGAGTGTACATGTTGAAGAATATTTATTTAGCTTCTGATATTACTACTATAACAAAATAATCTGGCTGGTATCTATGGGTTAAAAGACAAGACTGATGTCTCTTGTAAAGCTCTTGCCAATAGTAAAATCATTCTCCTAGAGGGGTTTTGAAAATTCATGTGTTTTGAAGTGTATATACACAAAATGAATTATATTGCACTTGTAATTGTTTCTTGGTTACCGCCATATTTGGCGAGCAATACCTCATTGATATCTCCGTAGTTGACATATTTTACACTCGAAGACAGAGCCAGAAACCCCTCCTTGGAGGAGCCCTGTTTTCTTTTGTGTGCAGCTGTACACACTACTACACATACATACAAGTACACACCACAGCCTTTTATATGAGTCATGGACCACTCAGTCAAACACCCAGAATTATACAATGCACATACAAACTTTACTGAAGCAGGAATCGAACCCGAGGTTAAGCAATAGTAGTTACCTTGACTCTGCCAATGAGCCATAGTTGGTGGACATATAATTAATTAACATTATATTGATGCTACAATAAATTTTGATTCACGTCACAGGGGCGGATCTGGGAACCAACAAGGGGGGGGCCCAAATTTCAGGTCAGAGAAAAAAACGTCCGCGATTGCGCGGAAAAAAATTTTGGGCCCCTAAAACGCAAAAGTGGGCCCAAATTTTGAAATTTTGAGGCCCATTTTCTTCAAAATTTGGCCTGAATTTAAAAAATAAGGCCTTAAAAGGCCCAGTAATGACCAAAAAGGCCGACTTTTTGGGGCCTTAAGGCCTTTTTTGGCCCAAAATTTTTATTGGGCCAAATTTTTTTTTCTGGGCCCACCCAAGGGCGTCATGGTAACATACTTGGCATTGAGTGAATTCTGACCTTGCATTTCCATTTATTCAATTTTCGTTTCTTCACGGGGGTGTAGATCCCACATTACCCATGACTCATTTATATAAAACATATATAAAAAAATTCAATTTGATGCTACATGATTTTATATTCTTTAAAAGGTATTGAGTGCAGTTTTTATTTCAAAGGATGAATTATTGAAATTCCTGCATGAACATCAGGGTCATAACACCCTTAAACAGTAAAAGATATGATCTCCCCAATGTCAATAGTTTAATGATATTAGATCAGTATTCATTGTTCAACAAAGATGAAATGTCACATTGTATCATCAAAATAGCATGTGGATTTAACATGATCAGCAAAAGGTTTACCACTGAGCATCATAATCAAAAGAGTTTTAAGCAAACAGCCATTTGAATTATCACCTTTTCCCTTGGAATATACAAATATTATATAAGAAAGAACTCTGATCAATCAGAATGAGTTATTGGGCTTATGAATAGATGTTATCCTGCAGTAGATGATGCTTATTTTAATTCAATTGTTCAAAATAATTTCAGTTGTCTTTTCATCACAACAATTAGTCACGGGGCTTATGAGGTGTTATCCTTTGACAATGAAGCATATTTTGATTCAATCGTGCAAAATAATTTCAGATGTCTTTTCATCACTACAATCTACATGCAATTATATGTCTCCTAGTCTCGCCATTATAAATAATTAAGTCGCAAGGCATTTTACTCAAATAATCCCTGTCATATAGCAACTCTTACATGAACATAGCAGGTCATTTTGGATTTCCTAGGTATGAAAATCTGACTTAAATTAAAGTGACTCTGAGTATAGGGGTGGCAAATATGACAACCTTGAGGGGAAATTTGACAACTCAATTATTTTTAAAATATTGAAGTCTCAACCTTGCCTATACATGTTGATGCATGGAAGGATAAAGATATTTTTTAAGTGAATGTATGATATAGTCATTTCCTATAGCGCAAATATATGATAATTTTGGCAGTCAGTTTTAGTAGTTAGTAATAATGTTAATACCCGTTCAGTGCACATTGTACTTTCATTTGTAGCAATAAATAAGGCAAGCACCGCAAGCATGGGCCCTTACAAACTTGTATTCGTTTAATCCTCAAACTTTACTTATCAAACTGTTGATTTATCTGGTCTTTATCTTGTAAATATTTTCCCTTGTTTTATTATGATACATCGATTTATGATTTAAGAGTTAAATAAGAAAAAAGTCTGATAATCTATTCTTGTTCTTTTTTAGGAGAACTTAAGCAGAGAATAACTTGTGACCTAACCTTGCACATTTTTGTACTTACAACTTGTAAACACAGTCTAAAGTCACATTTTTGTACTTTCAGATCTTTACTTCTATGTGTAGTCAAGGAAACAACATCATGGCTAGTGTATTTCAACAGGATTAATTCTAAATACTATACAGATTTGATATCTCCACTGTAGTAGCCTAATTTTGGATTTACCTCCAAACTGGGATCAACCAACCAATCAAAAGGATTCAACTGTCAATCTTGGATTATATATCAACAAATTTACGGATTTGAATACTGTATTAACCAATCAAAATAGCTGTCTCAACTTACAATGGTTACAACTTGTCGTTGATTGTGTCGTTGCCGGGTATTAGTAAGGAATGGCTATAACCGATATGGAAGAGGATTACGACCTCCCTGATGCATCACTCGCAAAGGAGTTCTACGCAAAGTATGAACCAAAGGAGGTCTTAGGAAAGTAAGTATATATTCTCCCCCCTCCCTCCCATCCCCACTAGTACTTGTCCAGTACTGGCACTAATTTACTTGAGGGGCAGCTTTCGAAAGTTTTATATAAAGTGGAGGTGCCAATGAAGTAAAACCTGTCTTATGAACACCTCTCTCTACTGAACACCTGTCTCTTGTGGACACCCCTCCTCCGCACATCCTCTACTGACTTCTGTATGAATTACCCTTTCTGCAGGCAAAATTGTTCAATATATATATATATGTTTTACTGTGCAGAACACAATTCCTCACTACCAACCATCTGGTGCAGATTATTTTCCTTAACATACTTATTGTTTTAATGTTGCATGGTCTTAGTATACACCTAAAGCAAAGGAATGTTTAGGAAAGTTTGTGTAATCCATCCCTCCCTTCCCAAACTCTGGACCAGCATTCAGTTCTTCCATTTGAAGATAGTAGACATCAAACTTGACTACTTGTGAAGCACTATTCACATTCCATTTTCTCAATTAATATAAACCCTTATATGTTTTTGTTTTCAACGGATATTACATTTTCCACCTGTTTTGCACTTGTTTTACTTACCAGTGAGCCTTACTGAATTTAATTACATTTTTGTTAAATATAAACCAAATGCTAAGTAGGGGCTTATAATTATATCAACCTTAATGTTTTCCAACTTTCCAAGATGTATTCTTCAAGAAGTAATTCTTCAGAATCTGTTCCTAATTTCATGGTATTAGCCATGTCACACTGGAACACCTTAACAAAGTTAAAATCTCATGGCTCAAAGATGCTGTTAAATTTTATTAGTGGTGACAGATTCATTGTTACAGCCATTGTTTTTTGTGGCTGCCGTTTTATGTTGATCTATGGCATTTGCAAATGGCATCTACAATAAAATGTCATATGTGGGATGTGATATTTTGTAATTGTTAATGCCATGTTTATTTATGTTTCTATACTCTATAGTCTAATGGGCTTCATACATTATTGTGATAAAAGGGTTATATCCATTGAATGTTGTTAAGTTGTTTATTCAATCATGATTGTTGGTTTTTATGAGATGAAATGATGTTTACAGGTACTGTATGTTCTTAATCAGACGCTTACAATCTCTGATCAAGAATGATTTAAATATTCATAATTGAATAATATGTCCAGAAATAGTTTTTGCTCGAAGAATATACTATTACTGCCTCGTTACTTCTATCAAAAACGCTCAAAATGTGTGATTATTTAATTGAATATGTTTTGTTCAGTGGGATTTATGACTATGTAGGGTAATTGATTTTCTAGTTTGAGCAATGCTTAAAAGTTATGCTTGTATGAAGTTCTGTGTTAAGTCAGGTAACCTTACTCATTAACCAGTTTTATTTTCAAAACTTTGAAATCCTAGATGTCAGGTACCAATGCTGTTAAGTGGTTCCTGAATCATTTTTCCTCAGAAGTTACATATTTGTGATGATTTGTATTTCATATTTGGTGTTTATTTTTGTGAAAAACAGCAGGTTGATTTTGCATCTGGTTGGTCTCTATCAGATTACCCAATGCAAGAGAGATGGTCTCTGTATACTCTTAAATAATTGTTGGAAAACCTCTGGACTCCCCTAGCCAATCAGAGACTGTCATTTCAGACCCATGGTCATGGATCTGAATAAGTGAATCTAATCTTTGTCAGCACCAGAAGTGGTTAAAGTGGTTAAAGCAGGACATTGTTTAGTGGTTTGTGTTTGATTTTTGGAGGTTGGTGTTCAGTAGTTAGCATCTGTAACAAATGGCAAGTGGTGGCATTTTGCATGTTGATGCTTTGTGTCTGCATGCAATATGTCCAGATTGGTCAAATGTCAAACTGTTACATGATTGCTCGTAATCAGAGGCTAATCTTATAATGTACATGCTGAGCTCAGGGTACCCTTCAAATGAAACAGCTTCGGGTACTTTGGCATTTATTGAAACTTCCTCCTTCTAATTACTGTTGTAATACAAGCCAAGATACTCCTACTTTATCCAACATAAAGCCTTAATCATGTTATTCCTGATCCTAAAAATTCATCACTGTTTATGCAGATCTCACTCATTCTTTTATTTAGTTGAGTGAAATATCTTTTTTTTCATTTCAATACATTTATGAACAAAATTTATGACCAACATGTTTTTGTGTTTTTTTCTTCATTTGTTTTCTCACTATTTTAGATTTTAAACTTATCCATTTTGCTTTTACATTTACATTAAGTGGAGGCATTGGAAGACAGCCAAGTTTAGTTGGAATTCAGATGGGCCATAATCATAACCTGTTTCTACTCCAACTGTGAATTGAAGGTCAATTGCTGGGTAAAAATAATTTCACAGAAAGCGGCAAGCCGGTTTGTTTTTTGGCTCATATAGAATTTTTATCCTCCTTTGAAATTCAAGTTGAAGTGTCTTTATTCTGTATGGTGTCAGTAGGAAGACAACCACATGTCCAGAGGATCTCTGTTTTTGAATAGAGAAAATGATGTCTGGAGCCCTGCAGTTGGAGGATGGTAGTAGCAAGGTTATGCATCACAAAGTTATTAATTAATCCATATACATATATGACTTAGCATCTAAAACCATCTTCGACTTCCAAGGTGTTATAACACAAATTATGTATCAAGATGATCTAAACCTACTTTCATAATATTTGGTCCTGTTGGCTTGGTATGTGTATCCTGGTGATGGATGAGAATTACATGAGTAGAACTTGATTACAGACAAGTTCAGAATAAAAAATGATTTTATCATAACATTAGCAAGTCTAGTCTAGCAACAAGCCCTTGTAACCTCCTCTCCCCTCCCACTACTTGCCTCCACATCTTCTCACACACAAGTGGGTAAAGAAAGCACGGGGTCCAGACTTACAAGTCAAGTTGAGTTCATACTGATTTTGGCATTCTGAATATTTTTAGCTCATTGTGAGCTATTGTTATCCCACACTTGTCTGTCTGTTTTTGCTTTAAGATAGGCAAAGTATGTTAAGTTGCAATCACTCCAGTCAAGATCGGTCCTTCACTGCTTTCATAGCAGCTCATGTAATGTAATGCAGTGAATTTCTCTTGGGCCAAGGATGGTTCATTATTCACTTTTTCATTTCATCTTTTCTGTCATCCATACTCACTGTGAAAACATCATAACAGTAAAACCTGTCTAATCAGATCACAACTTGGACTGGCAAAAAGTGTTCAGATTGACAGGTGTTTATACTCAAAAGGGTTTGAACATGGTAACCTCTAGTAGGTTGAGAATGGGGGCTAAACGTGATCACATTGAGAGATGTGTCTGATGAGATTAGAGAGGTGTTCAGATGTATCAGTTTTACTGTACCTTCGCTCGCTTGCGCTATGTCCAATCTACTCTTACCACTTTTCAAGAAAGCTAGATCTATGCTTGTAATAAAAAAAGGATAATTTTGGTTGTCATTTCACCATATTTCACTGAATTTCCTGATTGTTTGGCATTTCTCATATTCACCTATGCTTATTACTTAATATGCAACAAGCTACCATGATAAATTAAGACATCACTTTTCTTTGCCACCCATGACATCATGTGTCTAGTGAAACAATAAGATTTGATAAGATTGACAGTTGGCAAGATGAAGATTTACTGTATTTTTATGATTAAGTTACTGACGAAATCCTGTTTACTTTATTCTTTTCCACTCTATCCAGAATTTGAATTGATTACCAAAGTCAGTTAGGTCTCCAGGAATATGTAGAATCCCAGTATTACAAACACAAAATCGATCTCTAGCTGGCTGGCTGGATCGGCTTGTGGGTGAATTCTGGATTAGTATGACATATTGGTCGCTCTAACCCCATTTATCTGACAGTATTTTTTATTTATCTAATTTTTGTGTAGTGCAACTATCAAGACAGACATAGGTTAAGGAAGAAACCAGAAACAGAATCTGAGATATCTTTGAACACTGCAAAATCCTTAATATACACTCATTAAAATTCTTTGGTGTATTTTTATGTTTTTTTTATTAAGTTATTTATTCATTGCACAAGTAATACAACACACATGTCATTGTGACTGCTAAAAGCATTAATAGCCACGTTATGTCACCACCAAAAGTGTTGACATAATGTTATAGTCTCCAACTTTTTTATGGATACCAATTTGCAATAACTTACAAGCGTGGTGACATTTTGTCATGTTGATACCTTGTTTATTTTGTTTATAATCTGAGTATGTATAAGTACGAGTAGTTAAAAGATAATGGCACTATTTATGTCACCACCAAAAGTGGTGACATATTGTTATGGTCTCCGTTTTTTTGCGACGGCGGTTGGCATTTGGCGGTTGGCGTCCGGCGGTTGGTGTCCGGTGGTTGGCGTCCGGTGGTTGGCGTCCGACGGTTGGCATCCGGCGTCTGTAACAATTTCTTACAACTTCCTATAACTTAACAAATACTGTTTAGACTGACTTCAATTTTTTTCTAAATCATCTACATGTTCTCAGAAGTTCAAATCTGACTTTAGATTTGACATTTGACCTTCAATGACCTTCTCAAGGTCAAAAAGGTCTTTTTTCAACTTGCTTCACATTGACTAAATTTTTTTTCAAAATCATCTACATGTTCTCAGAAATTCAAATCTGACTTTACATTTGACATTTGACCTTCAAATCTGACTTTAGATTTGACATTTGACCTTCAATGACCTTCTCAAGGTCAAAAAAGGTCAAAAAGGTCTGTTTTCAACTTGCTTCAAATTGACTAAATTTTTTTTCAAAATCATCTACGTGTTCTCAGAAATTCAAATCTGACTTAAGATTTGACTTAAGATTTGACATTTGACCTTCAATGACCTTCTCAAGGTCAAAAAAGGTCAAAAAGGTCTGTTTTCAACTTGCTTCAAATTGACTAAAAAAAATTTTCAAAATCATCTACGTGTTCTCAGAAATTCAAATCTGACTTTAGATTTGACTTAAGATTTGACATTTGACCTTCAATGACCTTCTCAAAGTCAAAAAAGGTCAAAA